AATAGGGGAAAAAATTAATCAGGTCTGTTTCCATGATATAATGTCCTCACTTGTGTTTATTTTGGGGTTTAAAGGTAGAGCCTTGGGTTGATTATCCTGGGCCATTTGAGAGCTTCATATGGGAATTAAGGACAGCTTGGATGGGGACTGAGAGTGTGCAGTGGTCACTGTGTCCAGAACATGCACCCTCAGGACACTGTTCATGTGCTGCCCTGTGGGGGTGTATGCTGGCTTTGCACCCCTCATTAGTGGTTTGTCATCACCCAGGACTATTGGAAATGTGATTGAGATGATTCTCGTGTTTTGGGCTTGGATGTTTATGGTATCTTAGCAAAATTTACAGAAAGTATGACAGCACCTCTGGCTCCTTGCTAAAAGTGGGAAAAATGGCTCTCAGCTGAGCCTGCTTCAAGGCCTTTTAAAGCTAAACAAACCAATAAAAGTTTAATACCTACATTATTTATCCTTTTGACCCAATAATAGATTCCCGAGACCCTTAGAGTGACATTAGACTGACCAACCAAAGACAACTGCCTGAGTTCAGTCAAGAAGATGGAAAAAGAAGATGAACAAAGAAAAAGACACCACCCAAAATTCTCCATCTTGTCCCATATCTACCACTATACTGTAAAAACCTCAAAATTAAAACCCCATCACCGAGTGAAAACACACACATCTAACCCACTACACATTTGTGATTTCTAACTCATCATTCATATTTACAAGCCCTCTCCAAGGTTTCAGCTCCAGAGCAGTGTTTTCCAGGGGGTCTGTGCCTGGAAGCACAGAAAGCTCAAAAACTCCAGATTCCTGAGATCCAACATTGACCCTTCTTCTGTGGCAAACATCAGGAATTTGAGGCCACTTGACTCTGTAAGGAAGAAGAGTAAATTGCTTTGCAGATGCCAAAGTGATAATATTTCTGCATTCTGCCCTTTAGCACCGAGCAGATGACAAGAGGTGCTTTATTCTCTGACAGGATGTGGTTTTTTTTCCAACAGATACACACAGGAAAATGTTTGAATTTTAAATTCGTGGGAGATGTATCCTGGCAGGCATGGCAAACCCCTGGCAGGGCAGTACCATTTTTCAGCACATCCATATGCAGCAGATACTTGACATTTCCAAGATGCATTTCAAGGACAGTATAAATCATTCAAGAGAAGTGCTGTGAATTTATGCTGGTGTTTGGCCATTGCCCTGTAGCCACTTTTATTCATTCAGACCAAGGGGTTTGGGATGTTGGCTGAAGAAAACCAACAGGAAGAGCTGGTTATGACATTTTAGGGTGCTTTAAATACTTTTTCCAGGCCTGGCTGGAAAATGGTGCTGACTGGTTGTTCAGTGCCTCAGTCCTTACCTCTCAGGCTTGTGTGGAAGAATTAGAGCACTGCTAAAATCAGATAGGAAGGTAGGTTTTTGGGAAGAAATAACCACAGCTCCTGATGACTCACAGTGCTGAAAATTGTATTTTCTTGCACCAGTCTAAGCCAGTGTGACCCATTTAGCCTGAACTTAACATATGAGCACAATTATTTTATAAAGCCTCTCGTGTGCAGAATTTATAACTCGATGTTTACATTGAAGTTTGCAAATTACTAACCCTGAGCCATTTTAAACTTTTCTATGGAAGAATTGTCATAGTTTTCCTTCTCTTTAACATCCACAGTTCTGTCTTCACTGAGCCTGAGGGTCTTTTGTTCATGGAATGACACTCACTTTAAACTTTCCAAGTACATGGCAATTCAAATAGGCAAAATTCATTTTCACGCTGAAAGCAATTTCCCTCCAAACTTGGCTTTTAATTAGGAAAGAAACCTCTATGCATTACCAAAATACTTCTTATTTTTTCCTTCTTCTTTTTATTGTGCCTCTCAGTGTGCTGTATTGATTATTTTTAGCCAGAAGTTGTAGCGATAAAAGAGGGTTAAGCTTATTAAAGTGCTAAAAATAAAAGCATACTATGAAAACCTGAAGGGGCCCATTTTGGTTACTGCCAAGTGGGAGCATTTAAAAATTCTCATTCACAAGCTCACTTTCCTGTCTTTCAAGTGGTTTAGCTGAAATTCTGCCTTTTGAAACCAGTCCATTGATGCTGCTGTAAAAATTCAGGTCATGTGAATGATTCCTTGAAAGATTAAGGCAGAACCCCCACTCCAGCCACTGTCAATCCAATAATTTCCCGTGTAAGATTCCTGTTGGTCATTAGAAAGGCTTCATCTCAGGATATAGATAAATAGCTGGAATTGAAAGATACATCTTGGGGTCATCATTATTTCTCTCTGTGTGATAAATGTGTCATAAAATCATAAAAAATTGAATTTAAAGCCTGGCTAGCTCTGTCACCTTCACTACTCCTGTTGCAAGACTGTGTTTTAGATGAAAAATTATAAATATTTTCCGAATTCTCTGATATATTTGGTTGCAAACACCATCTGCTGTGGTGCAGCCTTGTCCCTGAGTTTATCAATATGTAGACTGCATCCCCTTGGGATTTTTGTTTTCAAATTGCATAATAAATTTGTCACCAGAGTCTGAGGGCGGGAAGTTGTGGGATTCAGTTTCTTTGAGAAATTCTGGACCCAGGGCTGGATTATCTCATCTGTTTGGGAACAAACTCGCTGTCCCTTCATCCCAAAGCCAAGGGAAAGGAAAAGGAAGATCCCTCCAGCAGGTTTTTTTTCATCCTACTGAGGACTCTGCCACTTTTGTCTCTCTTTGTCTCTCCATCCTCAAGTGAGGACCTTGGCAACGAGCCTGAAAGTGGCCAGGGTGAGGCTGTGAACCACCACTTGTTCAGCAAAGATCACTGAAATGTCTGTCAGGGACATATTTATCATTGACTTATTAACATAATTCAATTACTGCCTGTTTCTTTGTGATTTGAGCCAAATTCTCTTTCCTCTCCTTGCTTTCCTGTGTTAATCAGCAGAAACTTCTGATTAAATTTTTACCATATTTATGTCTCATTATTATTGTAGAGTTTTAGAGCTGGTTTGGTAGGGGTTTTTTTGTTTTTTTTTTTTTTTTCCTTTGTTTTAGTTTTTCCCCTGTGCCTCAGGATTACAAGTTGCTCCAAAAAATAGAATTTAAATGGGAGCTTTACTTATTCCAAGGCTGGTATTCCCCCATTGGGAGAACAAAACAGTTCCAAGCTCTATAACATCCCATAACTCATCCAGGACACGTGGCACACATCCTTCTTACCTGGGGAAGCCTGTGCTGGGTCAAACAGAGATGATGTTCACAAAAACAGTGCCTAAGGTGTGGTTCTGCCATTCCACAGAGCACTGAGGGGGTGTGCACAGTGTTTAATTTTATCTAACGAAGGCAAATCTCCTCAGGCCTCCCTGCAGGCAGCAGAAAGTGTTGGGTTCCTCTGGAGAGCCTTTTAAGGGAGCTAAATTAAGCTGCTTCTATGATTTCCTCCTTCCCCAGGAGAAGTACAGACAGATTGCTCTTGTTTTAGAAGGATATGTTTAATACATGTCTCCTCTGTAGCTCCTCTCTGCCTAAATGATTAATTTTCTGAGGCCAATCAGCCTTTAAGAGATGTTGAGCAGTGAAGGGTGTCTGCACTAAGATCCCGAGAAACTTTATACACAAATGAGTTCTGTTACATTGATTAGACACTTGGGGTTTTGCTCTTTTTCTCTTTTGTGTTTTTTTTTCCTTTTATTTGCTTTTTAAAAGATGTATTTTATTTTGAGTTTCTATTATAAGTGCATAATTACATTAACAGACTTTAACACTGTTTCATTTAAAAATGGCAAAATCTGACTGCAACCACTTTCCACAAATTTTCTGCAAACTCTCATCCCTTTGTCCACCACACAAGTGGTGAGATTAATTCCTATTCTTTCCTTTAGAACCTTTAAGAATAAATTACTTGATTCTTTTGTGGCATGTCTTAATCCAACTCCTGGCACTATTAATTGAAGAATTTCCATTGGTTTTATTAAGGATTAGAGAAATCCCTGAAAACTTATTCTCCAATTTCTACCTGAGGCTGAGTTCTCCTGGTCTAGTCCATGCTCTCTGTGGTGTATTTTGTGCTCAAATCCACCCATTTGATCAAAAAGCAGACCAAGGGCACATCCTCTTCTACTGTGAGAAGAAATTATTGTCTGCACATCTCTTAGGGGACAAGATGGTCAAGATTTCCAAGATTTCTGCTGGGAAAACAAACCCTTTTTTGCAGGTTTTATACCATAGCTGTCTTGCTTTCTAAGCACAGTCAGGAGTCAAAGTTAATATTTGTTTTTGTTGGAAGTGGAGACCTGCCAGTTGTGATGAGTAGCTGATAATCTTCCTTTTCCAGTCTCATTTTGATTCCTTGTGGTTCCTCCAGGCTTCCCTCAGTGCCAAACATAGCAATGTAAGGTGACCTTCTCCCTTAATTGTAGATTCCAGCAATTTGTCTCAATCTGAGCCATTTTGCAGACCTCCACTGTAGCTGGGAAATGTGCTCCAGGAGTTTGGCTTGTGGTTTCTTTAATGTGATCAACTCCTGGGGAGTGGGAAGGAATTGCACACCATGGATTTGCTCTCTGTGATATTGTCTGAGATGATCTGATCAAGAACAGACACCTGGGCATGGTCAATAACCCACATGGACCCACATGAATCCCTGAGCTCTAATAAGGAGATAATTTCAGGTGCCATGTCCCTTCTATAATTCAATCCAGTAAATTTATCAGTCTTGAGCCACTTTCTGTTAATTCCCTGTCACTCTTCCCATTGATTTCAGAAGGAAAGGGATGAGAGGCAACCTCCATCCTGTCAGGGGACACGTGGAGAGGTGTCAGTCATCCTGCCCCTGACTGATGGGTTGGATGTTCATCCAAATGGGTGTTGGTCCAACTTCCCTGCACAACTACAGGTCACAATCAAGAGGCTGCTCCTCTCTTTATGCCCACGAGTAAATTGCTGAATTCCTGTTGGTGTAAGACCTTTGTTTTTTGGTTTGCACCCTGTAATTATCTTCTTTTAATTTGCAGATAGCATTGAAGCCAACATTGAGGCCTCCTCTTCTAATGTAGAGTCAGCCAATGAGCAGTTGGCAAAAGCAAGTCAGCACCAAGTAAGTGGGACTAAAAACATCCTACAAATGCTTTCAGTGGTAGTATTTACACTAAACAAAACACCTGGCAGCTGTGAAACACTGGGCAAATGGATTTGTGCTACCTGGAAAGATGATAAAGCATATTCTAAGTAGGAACTAAACTTTTATATATATATATATAAACATATATATATAAACATATATATATATATATGTATATATATATTTGATTAGATTACCATAAAACAGACAATTCCCAGTAGAAAAGTCAACAAGTAGCTACTGTTGTTCTTGGAAAGACACCATAAAAAGCACATCATTTAAGTGCATATGTGCTTCTGTTTGGTGTGTTTCCCTATAATCAGGCAACAGTACTTTAGGAAAACAACTTGAGTTGTCAAACAACATGATGTGGTTGGTGAATAATGGCTGTGGTGGTGTTCAGCACTTTTCAAAGGCAATTTGAGGGATTTTTTTGTGATTCTTTTTTTTTTCTTCACTAGAGGAAGAATAAAACATAAACACACACACACACATACACACACAAACATTAATCTTTTTGAAAACAGCTTGCCCAGAAAGAACTCTTTGATGATTATAGTTAGGACTTTCTAGGGATGGGGTGGGGGAGGTGGGGGAACGAACAGAGAAAAAAATGTTATCAATTGCATTGTGACTGACAGAAGAAAAACATGATAGTTTTCTTTTTTCCTCAAGCATAAATTAGTGATTTTCGTGCGTCTGGAGTTTTGACAAAATGTTGCTGAGGTCCCTTGAGAGTACATGGTGCCTGTTGGTTGGTCCTTGGACAGTGAACTCTGAAGTTCTGGGGCAAACCTCCAGACCAAAGGAGTAAGACTCACAGGCATTTTACTCTGATGTAATGGAGTGATGTGATTTTAAAATTATCCATAGCTCATTTTCTGGTGAAACACATTGTCCCAGTTTTGGGTAATAAGACTGAGTTTTGTAGAACTTTGATATTGCAGAAAATAAGGGCTGTCTTCATTTTGGATTTTAATGTATATATATTCAAGCTAATGCATGTCGCCCTGCATGGAATCCTGCATTCACTTTGAAAACAACTTGTTACCACATGAAGTCTAAAATGAAACTGGAATGAATTTAATACTTGACCTGACTGTAGAGCTGATTGCAAAGCTGCAAATGAGTTAATGATGACTTTGGCTAAGAAGGTCGAAGAGGAGTCAGGCAGAAAATGAATGCAGCACAGTCTAAAGGCTCTGCTTTCTTCAGCTACAAGAGCTGCTGAAATAACCTGCCCAGACAGGAGGCCCTTTTTTCCTGAGATATGTCCATCAGGATAAAGATATAGTCAGTTTTAGTGAGGCACCCCTGCCAAGGGCATAAATATGGACTGATTGGTGTGCATGAAAAAAACAGAGCCTCTCTTGTGCTCGAAACAAGCCCATAATGACAAATATCACTCACTAAACTTCAGCTGCTAAAGGAAATGTGCAATCCAGATCTCCTGTGGAGCACAGGGAACTGTCCTGTGCCTGCTGGTTGTGGATCATCAGAAAAACATGTGTAAACCCAGGGCACTCTCTGTCACCATGAACAGAAAATGAGGTGACTTTTTTGTCACTTCCACTGCTGGCCTGGGGCTGGTCGAGTTGCATGTGATGCTTCATGTGTTATGTGCCATCAAATCTGCTCATTTACACCCAAAGGGACACTGTCCCCATGGTGGGACAGGGAGGACCCTGATCCCACAGGAATGTTGATGCCCCTTGGATAAAGCAGGGTGAGTACAGGTCATCCTTCAGGGTGGTTTGCCTGGTTTTGGATGCTTTGGAAATATCCGGGATGGGTTTGGGAGAGGATCAGCCAGATGGCCCCGTGGGTGAACTGCTTTTAAGGGACCTGCCAGAGCTTCACATGCTCTAAATTCCTTCTGTGCTGCTCAGGGATCAAAGGCACAAAATGTTTCTTAAATCTCACTGACCAGTTCTTCTTATGTTAAACTGCTAATTCATGAGTATGTTTGCTTGTTACTTATGTTACAGTGTGGTTATCCTGTAAATGCAGGCTGGCTTACAAACATTTGTTATTTATTACTGTTTATATGTGTATAAACGTGTGTGTGTGTGTGTGTGTGTGCAGTATTTTTATTAGTCAATGTAGTGTTTTTATTAGTCTATCAACAAATGTATACATAAATTGAGAAATCAGAAATGTCAACACTGCTGAAACATTCAAGTTTAAGGCCTTCTGTAGAACTTAATGGAGGGATTTCTGTCAGGAATAATGATTCAGTGGCAGGTTATTTAGCACAATATTTGCATGTAACCCATGCAGTCACTTCAACAATACAACTAAGAGAACCAGTCCCAACCTGCACATTAACATAACAGAGAACCAGTAAATAATTTTTCTTTAGCTACTACAAAATAAGACATGTAGGTTCCCTGAAATGATAGAAATGTTAAAAAATATGAGAATGTTTTCACAATGAGCTCCTTTGTCTGCATTTTAAATTTGGTAAGGTGCTCCTTCGTCTTGAGATGTGTGTGCTAACAGCAGTATTTTATTACTTTGAGTGCATTTTCATGTGCCCCATCTAAATTCTAAAAGATTAGTGGGAGCTGTCAGAGCTTTGGAATATATATATTCCAAACATATATATCTTCCAAATATATATATATATAAACAGATTTTTTTCTTTCACTTTAAATTATTGGTATTTAAATTGGAAAAGAATTGTTTCTGCTTAAACTTGTTTTTACTACCAGTTTCAGTTAAGCTGTGCCAGTGCATTATCTGTGGGAACACTCAGGGTCAAAATGCAGATGAAAGAAATGAGAGTTGGACATTGATACAAAAAGGAGGCCTTTTTTTTTTTTTTTTTTTTTTCCATCTGAAAACCCTGTTTGTCACAGAAATGTGACAATTTTACTTTTTTAATCCTACTTTCACTAAAAAATCTGGGTTTGAAAAATGACTGAGGGGCAAACAAATCTGGCAGGGAGAAGCCAGTAAAAGTTTTTTCCTGCATTGGACTTGTTTAATGCCTTTCTTTTCAGTGAGGGTCTCATTTCTCTTGGGCCTCGAGCAGGAATGATGACTCCTGCCATTAATACCAATGGCCCAGATTTGCCTCTTGAAATTTCCTTGTCCCTGCCCCCAGAGAAGATGATTCATCCCACCCATCTCAAAACACCACTTTTAACTTGGGTCAAATTGCTCTCTGGAAGAAAGGGATTTATTGGACCAGGCTGAGTGTGTTTGGTGGTGATGTGTGTTTAAGTGTCTAAACCTCCTTTCCATGATTCATGAGCAGGAATGGCTTTCAGCACATCTTGTCTCATGTCACAGGAGATGTCTGACATAGGCAGGTCTGGTGGCTGCCTCTTAGGACAAGTTTGTTCTCTCCTTTGTCCACTAAATTGAGATTATATCAATGACACCACAGATATTTCAATGAAAAATTAATCCCGCGCCTGTCACCTGTCTCTTTATTTGGAAAAAAGGGAATATCTAGACACTCAACCTGCCCTTGAGGTTAGTTTAGGTGGGCTGGACATCACACTAAAGGGATGGGTGCATGGAGATGAGCACTTTTACTCTGCTCACTTTGCTCAGAGCTTCCTGCACGTGGGTTGAGAGGAAGGAAAAGAAACCAACACAGACTCCACGGGTACACATTAAACCAGTTGCTCTTTTTTATGCAAAGTTTGGCCTAAGTTCAGCCTGGCCTCACTGACTGAAGGACTCTGTGCTGACTGCTGAAACTAATTTGTTTTGGAAGAGCTGCTTGTGTTGCTCTGATTAATGCTGGTTGCTTTCCTTCCCCATATCCTCTGTGGAAGTCAAGCTAATTTGGATTTGCTGGCATCCCAAAGGCAAACAGCAGTTCTGTGACCCATTTGTGTAGTCTAAGAAAAAAGAGTTTTTTCCCAGTAAAGAAGCAGTTCCTGGGTCTGGCTTTCACGGGTACACAGAGGGGCACTTTGAAGGCTGAAGCTCTGAGCAAAAAAAGCCTCATAAATCTGTGATATTTGCAGAGATCTTATTACCTGGAGACCACTGATAAGGAACTGTCTTCAACTTTTGCTCAAATAACTCATTGGTGTTTTAACAACAAAAGAAAATTTGAGTTTCAAAAATCATCTTCTCAGAGTCTTTAAAATATTTTGGCTGGTACCCTCTCAAAGCATTTGTTGCTTATAAATATTGTGGCAACAAGATCACCTCCTCCTCTTCACTATGGATATGCTCTAAGACCTTGTCTTTTGCTGCCAGTAAATAATTTTAACTTTCGTTTACTAATTAAGAGCCAACTGGCACCATGATTGCACCCTGACATGTGCAGTTATCCAGCAACTGCAAAGCCATGGGGGACCAGTGTGGTTGGATTATCTTGATGCAAACTGAGACCATTTTCCTTTAACCTGTCACTTTTTACCTGAGAGAAGAGACTGACCTCCACCTGGCTACACCTTCCTTTCAGAGAGTTGTGGAGAGCAAGAAGGTTCTCCCTGAGCCTCCTTTTCCCCAGGCTGAGCCCCCCCAGCTCCCTCAGCTGCATAATCTGGATCCCTGACTTCAAGGAAGACGTTGAGCTGCTGGAGAATGTGCAGAGAAAGGGCAACAGAGCTGGGGAGGGATGTGGATGAGAAATGGCTGAAGGAGAATTGCTGCATGGAAGGGGCTGTCAAACATTGGTATGGGCTGTCCAGGGAGGTGGTGGAATCACCATCCCTAGAGATGTTCAAGAAATGACTGGATGTGGCACTTAGGTGACAAGGTGCTGATCAGCCAAGGGTTGGATTCCATGGGCTTAGAGGTCTTTTCCAACTTAAATAATTCTGTAATTCTGTGAGCTCCTAGGACAAGAAAAGGCTGGGTGCTCATATGGCAGATTTGTGACAGAGATGTGGCATCACTCTGCTGCAGACTCTGAGATGCAACATAAACAATGAAACCTCATGTTGTTTGTCCATGTCTGTCACCACGGTGAGCGTGGCTGAGTTTGCAGCTCCTCTGGATAATTA